AACTTCGTAATATAGTCCTCCTCCCCTCGACAGTTGATGAGGCCAGCTGCAAGATCGACCTTCAGAACGCAAGATTGTCGTAATACTGGGGCCCGCTGACGGTTTAACCCGAACGAACGCATCCGTTCAGGACCCCAGGCGAACGAGGGATCTCAAGCAGGGGGTTTCATCTGCTCTGGAAACCTTTGAGTATTACTTTGAGGATAACAATTACTTTAGACACATTTGAGGATCATCAGACTACAGTGGAACAAGTGATCAATGTAATCAATTCAAGAAAAAACACTCAGGATTCAGTTTAGATAGCCAGTGTGCCTCCTTCTTACATATATGGTGAAAACAAGAATATCAATGATACAAGTTAAAAAATGTCTGTGATGCCAATAGTATGTAAAATGATTACATAATAACAGTGTTTTTGCGAAAGTAGCGGAGATGTCTAGATATAGATCACTTCTGGATGGGAGACTTTTCTTCATTCTTCTTGCTTCTAGAAGTTGAGATTGATTCGTAAAAGGCAGAAGTCATGAACTAAAAATCTTCAATATTTAGTAGTGGCAGTATATTTACTTTACTCAACTTTCGACGAAAAATGTGAGAATTTGGGGAACTCATTATATCTTCTGGCAGCATTTGCAGCCATCTTGCAGTTCGACAAAAAAAGGAGTTATAAAGTTTGGACCAGTGTGGTCTTTTTATCGAACGATAATCTAAGACAAAATTATTTGATCGCCCACTACTAGGCCTGAAAACCCAGTACTTGCTTGGTTTTAGCTTGGTCTCCATGCGCAATACTCGGAAAGAGAAAACAAGGTCATGATGAATTCTCCGGTAAAACAGAGTTTTCAGTCCAAAAAGCCGTAGCCTCTCATAATAGTTAGGAATAGCATACGCGGGATGAAACGGAGTCCAATGCACATCTATACATGAGAAGCCTCGTGAAAGTTTGTTGTACTTTTTCGATTGTCATTTGATATTTACGTAGGTGTGGACTCCATACCTGACAGCAGTACTCAAGTTGTGGGATCACATATGCTTTATAAAGTCTAAGAAAAATTGCTCTATCCTTGCTGTGCACATTTCTGAAAATGAAGTAGACGGAGTTTAGAGCTTTACGGACGATTTCATTTATATGATTGGAAAAGTCAATATTAGATAGGTAAGAGACACCCAAATCTTTCACGAAATTTCGACTCTGCAGAGTAATGTCTTCATATCGATATCGGGAGCAGGTGCCAGGTCCAATATGGAATACGAAGGACTTTGTTAAGTTTATGGGTAGATTCCAGTTACGGGACCATTCCATCAATTTTTCAATGGACTCAGAAAGGGCATTGTACACCTCGCCATAGTTTTCTTGATTATAAGTTCCATAGATTTTTATGTCATCTGCATAAATCTGTATCTTAACTGAATGGTGGGTTTTCAATACAGTTGGGAAGATCAATGCAGTAGATAAGAAACAAAATCGGGGAAAGTACCCCTCCTTGGGGAACTCCGCTGGGACATGGGTAACGTTCTGAGAAGGAGTTACCAACCTTCACCCACATGTGACGCTTTGAGAGATATGAAACTAGCCAGTTCAATAGGTTTCCATCGAGACCAATCATTCTACATTTGAGTATGAGCTTATCAAATGCCTTTGAGAGGTCAAAGTATATTACATCAATAGATTGTTTCATGTTCAAAGCAGAAGACCAGTCGAAGGTGCTATCAAGAAGTTGTGTAGTGGTAGATGCACCTTTCGAAAAGCCGTGTTGTTCATTAGGGATCAGGTGATGCTTAGTAAGCCATCCGACAAGTTTATCTCTCAGGATTTTCTCTAGTATTTTGCCAGCAGGAGAAGTTATGCTATGGGCCTAAAATTAGAAACTAAACGTGTATTAGAAACTTTTGGAATAGCAGTAACCAAAGCCTCTTTCCACAGGTAAGGTACTGATGCAAGAAGTAGTGAAATGTTGAATATCATGGTAAGTGGTTTACAGAGGCTTGCAGCGCAACGCTTCAACAGTACTTGGGGGATACCATCATATGGGGCAGACATCGATGGTTTTAGTGTCTTCAAATATTTAAATACATCATTTGGATCCACAGTGAGGTTCCTCAGTGTTTCCTAAGATAGGGGCGTCCATGTAAATACGTGGTATCAACATTATTTTCTGGCGAAAATACGCTAGAAAAGTGTTTGGCAAGCGCATTTGCCTTTTGAGCGTCATTTATGAATATATTGCCAGCATCATCTTCTAATGTCATGATGTTTTGCTGTTTCCTGAGTTTACTGCGCAAAAACGGCTTGGTGGAAGACCTTTTCATCAATCGAGACTCATAGTTTGCAAAAAAACGTTTGATATGGAAGTTGATATCAGAGCAAACTTTTTTGTAGAGTGTAGATTCCGTATCTGATTGGAGTCTAAACTTTTGTTGCAGGAGATTTTGTATATGCTTGGGATAGTTCTCTTTCTTGCTCATGGGAATTCGAAAAGGAACATATTTGCCCAGTCCAGCATATACTGCAGAGCAAAATCTCATATAAGCGTCATCAATACCAGAGTAACCTTGGAAGAGATTCCACCAATCAATGGAGTAGAAGTGGTGATTGAGAGCATCATAGTTAGCTCGAGAAAAGTCAGGCATAGGAGGACTGAATGAAGCATCAAAGAGAACATCACAATAAAATTGTACCATTCTGTGATCAGATGTGTGTAAGGGAGGTAGATAATTGACGCTGTTTTTGTGACTGGGGGCAATTTGTTGTAAGTCGCAGCTTTTGAAAAAATCAAGAAATCTTCTGGATGTCAAATTTTTTGCTTCTCCCAGATTCCAATCGACATCGAGATTGAAATCGCCAAGGATGACTAGGTGGGCGGGAGAGGAGCATACAGTGCTCAAATAGTCGAGTAGTTTTGTATCATCATCTCCAGAGGAATTAGGTGGTCTGTAAACTAGAACGAATCTCGTGTTTGTCATATATTGATCATAAAAATAATCGAAACATAGATACTCAGACCTAATTATCGTATCGAAAACATTTTGTCTGAAGTTGAAGGACTCTTTAATGAGGCAACACACGCCCCCTCCCTTACCAGATTTGCGATCTTGTCTTAAAATATTATATGGCATCCCGCTAACAATTTCGCTATCGGATATTCTTTCATTTAACCATGTTTCTGTGATAAAAACAAAATCGGGGCTATGAACTGAAAGGAAATGGTGCAGATGTACTAATTTGTTGGTGATACTTCGAGCATTGAACAGAAAGCAACATAAGCTTGTCAATGATTTGTGGCCATTTGTCCGTTTCCCGATCCTGTTGGGCGGGTCGTTGACGTTTTTGACGTTTTTAGGTCCTTCACATTTTTCAATTCGTTTTTATAGACTACCCAAGTCTTTTTACCACACTCATTGTTACGCTTATTGGCTTCTTGGCGAAGTTCAAAGTCATGTCTACGTTCGTCGGGTGTCATGCTTTTACGAACATAAACATGTGAATATTGACTCGAGCGTAAAAAGCGGGCGTTTGATAATGCCGTTAGCCAATGATTTCTTGATGGTAAGACAACTTTGATAACTCGCGGTCGGACATCAGAAAGTCTACCCATTCTATACACTTCTACAGGCCGACATTCAACATTAAGGACATCAAGTACTCCCGCAACCTTTTCCTCGAGTTCTCTCTGTTTCTCCGATGGCTTGAGTTCGGCCCCCTGTTCAGGCAAACCGGAGATTACAATGCTTCTGCACCGTTTTTCAGCGTCGATTAAATCTGACATCTCAGAGGCTATCTTTGGTTTTCAAGGGCATCCAACATCCTGCTGATGACAGGATCAGTGTTCCTGTCGGCTATTTTCAACAAAAGCTCAGGAACGCTTAACGTTGAAAAATCCAAGTCCCCATCAGCTACATCCACGGCATTTTTGACATTCTTAACTGCACCCGAAGGTACGGCAGCTTTTCCAAGGGCACGAGACACACGAGACATTAATGACGAAAATAAAATTGAAACCTGACGATATTTTCCCTGAGAGTATGTCCACACGTGAAGTGAAACGCGACAGGACGGTGAATACCCAACCGCACGTGAATGACGATGGATGATGAATGACTTAGCACCAGAGCTGAGCAGGAGGAAGCGAGCGGCTTGGGGAGCCTTCAAGAACATCGAGGGAGTAGCGAAGAAGACGAAGAACACCAAGCTCCGTGCCCACCTCTTCGATTCCGCGGTCCTTCCTGCCTTGACGTACGCCTCAGAGACTTGGACTCTACGAAAGCAGGATGAGCATGCGGTCGGCGTTATTCAACGCGCCATCGAAAGGGCGATGCTCGGAGTTTCCCGCTACACGCAAGTGAGAGAGGGAATCCGGCGAAGATCAGAGACGCCGCCGCATTTGCCAAGGTTTCGAAGATCAGGTGGGCCGGGCACGTCATGCGTTTCGAGGACGACCGCTGGACCAGAGCGATCACCGACTGGATTCCACGGGATGTCAAGCGAACGCCTGGACGACCGCCTATGCGATGGTCAGACTTCTTCGTGAAAGCTCTGAACGAATGGTATGAAGTTCATCGTGTCCCTCGAGCAGAGAGAGTTCATTGGGCAACTCTTGCACGTTGCAGGGACGAATGGAGACGTTACTGGCGCCCGCTCGAGGAACTCGATGATCAACGGGAGCATAGGTGATACAGGTGATGTGGTACACATGTTTACAGGGTAAAACTGCCCAAGGGGCAAGCTTTCAGCGAATTTGGCGATCTAGAATTTTGGCGACTGCGCCTGTAGCACTGCTCGTGTTCACAAAGTCAGAACCATTCTTGGAAACATATTTTCAGCCAAATCGGCTTTTGTAGTAAAAAGTTGGTAGAAAACTGGCATGCTTTTGGGAAGGCTGGGACTTGGAATGTGCCAACTTTTATTATGAATCGTAGTGCAAGAGGGAGCATGGTATTCAAAGGGAAGATTATCAGAGATCCTCCATCGGAGCTCGAACTTGGTGAATGGGCTTGTAAAAGTTTCCGACTCCCTTGTTTCTCTACCTGACAGCACAACAATATCTATGCGATAGTCTGAAAATCTAGGAAATTTA